TGTCGGGGGTTTAAATGGAGAGAAAATGTTTTGAGAAACGATGTACAAATGCGCTTTACACAATTGATGTGTGTATGGATTGGGATAACAGTTGTGTGAGCCCCTAATAAAATGTTAAAAAAACAAAACAAAAAAAAACCCAAAAAAGAAATCAACTAGACCAGAGGATGTACACTGGTACAGATAGGAACCAGAAACACAGGGAATCCAGGACAGATGATCCTTTCAGGACCAGTGGTGAGAGTGGCAATACTGGAGGGTGGAGGGAAGGTGGGGTAGAAAGGGGGACCCGATTATAAGGCTGTACATATAACCTCCCTGGGGGGTGCACAAGTGGGTGAAGGAAGGTGTCAGACAGTATAATATATGACAAAATAACAATTTATAAAGTATCAAGGGTTCATGAGGGGGAGGGGAGTGGGGAGGGAGAGGGGGAAATGAGATGAAACCAAGGGCTTAAGTAGAGAGCAAATATTTTGAGAATGATGAGGGCAACAAATGTGCAAATGTGCTTGACACAATGTATGTATGTATGGATTGTGATAAGAGTTGTATGAGCCCCCAATAAAATGACTTAGAGCAAAAAGAGTTCCTAGCTTACCACACCCTCTCTAAACATTTGTTTTACTGTTTATTTAAAGAAGGCTACAGGAATGGGTGTTAGGTGGTATCTCATGGTAGCACCTTTTGCACATCCAGAATGGTTAATGACTGGGAAAATTAAAAAACAAAATGAAAAACAAAGGGGCGGGTGGCCGGGGGCGGGGAGAAAAGCCTGTAAATAGTTCAGGTTCTGTTTGTTGACCTGTAGGAGTGTTTTTGGGTCGAGTCTGATTTTTGGTATTCCCGGGGGACTTCGTTGCTCTGCTTCCCTTGCTGTTCTGTTGCACACTCGTTGCTCTGCTTCCCTTGCTGTTCTGTTGCACACTCCTAGTGGTATGCTTAGTGTTTCAGATGAGGCGCAATTCCTGCAGTGTGTTTTCACTGTTGTCCCCGTAGCGCTATGGGTCATGAGGGACGTCATGTCTCATAGTGGGGCTGGTCCTATGGTCCTCTCTGTGCTTTGGCTGCCCTGAGCAGGAATCTTGTCCTTAGGTCTTGGTGGGCCAGGTTGTATTCCACTCTCTCTTCCTCCTCCTCCATTTGCTCTTGGGTGCTCTGATCAAACATGCCCCTCTCCCTCAGCTTTAGCTTCAGTGCTGCCCTGTGAAGTGAATTCTTCTGTGGGAGGGGGTGTTGTCCACGTAGTTGCGATTGGGGCGGTCCATCAGACCTTTCTATTGGTTCCCTGCTTCATGCCGGTAAGTTGCATTCACATCTTGGAACAGCGGGTTGAAGTCTGGTCCCTCTTTCCCTGACCCTTTCACAGGGGTCACCGATTCATAACAGTCGCAAAATTACAGTTATGAGGTAGCAATGAAAATAATTTTATGGTTCGGGGTTCACCACAACCTGTATTACAGGGTCGCGGCATTAGGAAGGTTAAGAACCACTGGTGTAGAGGAACCTGACAGCCTACTGCCCTTGAAATTGACACTTGTTGTAGGTGTCATTGAGTCCATACCGGCTCATAGCAACCCCGTCTACAGCAGAGCAAAGCATTAGCTGGTCCTGTGATTCCCATAGTTGTTCTTGTGTGTGAGCCCATTGTTACAGCTACTGTGTCGTTCCATCTTAAGGAGGGCCTTCCTCTTTATCGCTGCCCCTGGACCTTACCAAGCATGATGCCCTTCTCCAGGGACTGCTCTCTCCTGCGGACATGGCCAAAGTACGTGAGACAAAGCCTCACCATCCTTGCCTCTAAGGAGCATTCTGGCTGTCCTGCTTCCAAGACAGATTTGTTTGCTCTTTGGACAGTCCATGGGACGTTCAGGATTCTTTCCCTGCACAGTCATTCGAATGCACCGATTCTTCTTCAGTCTCAGTCTTCCTTATTCAGCGTCAGCTTTTACATGCCTATGAAGTGAATGAAAATAGCATGACTTGGGTCATGTGTACCTTAGTTTTCAAAATAACCTCTTTGCTTTTTAACACTGTAAAGAGGTCTTGTTCAGCTAAATAATGGATGGACATATAAAGTAAACTGGCTTGTGAAGAATGTACTTCCCAGATCAACTGAAGGAGATCAAAAGAGCAACCTGTGCTTGAAGCCAGAGATGAAAAGGTAGCAGAGGACAGTGAAGCCCCATGAATGGAACTGACAATGCTGAGTAGGAGATGGGAAAGCACGGAGGCATTGTGGGTTTACACCCAAGGTCACAAAAGTTTTGTATGAATTTTTTCATTGGAAAACCAATTTGCTATGTTAACTTTTACCTAAAGTACAATGACATGCTCAAAAGCAAAACAAAAAGGTCACTACTATGATTAAGATGACCAGACGTTCCACTTTTGGCAGGACAGTCCCTATTTTTAACAATTTTTCCTGCGTCCCGTGGCGTCTTTAAAAAGTCCTGATTTTTGGAAAGAATGCATGACAAGCTAGGGTATACGGTGTTTGGCTGCCGTGTGGCTATTTTCGCCAGGATATGAGTTTTATCAATGGTGTCTCGCTTTACCAATGTTAAAATCTGGTCACCTTAACTATGATAGAACTTCACCAGGCAACATAGTAAGTACATGTAGCAAGGAAGCCATGTGAGGAATCCTGAGAGCAAGTTGAACTGAAGTGTGAGCAGCTTGGGACTGCTGCCTCCAGGAGGTGTGAGTTCTCCAGAAATGGTCATTGACAAGGGCACATCTATATTTTAATACGTTCTTTCCATAATTTGTCAATTTGTTATTTGCAATAAAGTAAGCAAATGGATAGGCCCAAAACCAAGACGTGTTTTTCATTCAGTAGGGTGGATATTTAGGAAGAGTGATGGGCTGTGTCTAACCACAGTAAGATGCAGTCCGGCTCTCACACAGCATGCTTGATGTAGCTAATTTTGTGCTGCTCCAAGAGAAGCCGGATAACCACAACTAGAAAAATACCTGTTTTAAAATGACAACAATAACAACATCAGTTGTGGCTCTGAATTGAATGGGCTTATTTGGATTTCTTTTCTTCCACTTTGATCTTATTGAGTATTACGCTTGTCATTAATGAAGAGCCCCTAGACCTTCTTAAAGCAGCGTTTTAGTTTTGCCATCGTGGTTAATAATTTCAATTTGATTATCATGAATAGTAGGAAAACTTGTGCTGTAAGCGCATATCCCAGTGCTTGTACGTTATTTAATGTTTTATTTTTACTTGGTAGGTTATTAAAGAAAGCGGACCACCTCACATGAAAAGCTTTGTCACTCGGGTGTCAGTAGGAGAGTTCTCTGCGGAAGGAGAGGGAAATAGCAAGAAACTCTCCAAGAAGCGTGCTGCAACCACGGTCTTACAGGAGCTCAAAAAACTCCCGCCTCTTCCTGTGGTTGAGAAGCCAAAATTATTTTTTAAAAAACGTCCTAAAACCATAGTAAAGGTAAGCACGTACTCAAAAAAGTTACTTAATTTTACTAAGTACTGTGGTTGTAGAAAATAGTTTTCCCATGAGAGGCATCTAAACTTAGATGTAGTCAGGGTATGATGTGTGACTTTACATAAAGGAGAATTCTGTGTTCCTTTTTTAATTACCTGTGTACTTGCACTAGGTCCCTGGGGTGGCTTAAGCAGTTTATGATCAGCTGCTAACCTAAAGGTAGGTGGTTCAAACACACCCAGTAGTTCTGTGGAAGAAAGGTCTGGTGTTCTGTCTCCATAAAGACTGTACCCCAAAAAACTCCTGTGGGCAGAGCTTTATTTTGTAACACACAGGGATGCCTTAGGTCAGAATCTACTCTAAAACATTGTGGTTTTTAAATATATATATATACCTGCATTTATTCATCAACTAATAGTATTACTTTGCATATTTATTGTTTCTTTTAATGTTTTCAAAGTTCCTTTTTGTTCATGACCTCTTGAGCATAATGTTTATGACAATGTGTAACATAGGTGTTTCCCTCAGTTTACAAATAGTTTCACAAAAGAGGTTCAAAGAATGTGTTCACTTTCTTTTATTCAGCTCTCACCTGAGGACACTGCTTCTAATCCAGGGAGGGGTCTTTGTTTGGGTATACTGCCTCGCTACATAGTAACCTCTGACGCCATGATTCGGCCGGCCGTAGAGTCGTTAGATGATCACATGAAGAATAGTGAGCACCTGGCAGCAGCAGAGCATTAGTTACACAGCACTCCGCATGCCAGCCTCTGCCCCGCACTGTGCTTCATCTCTTCTTCGTCAGAGCAGCCATGGGAGGACCAAGGTCACATGCTGTGCCCATTTGCTCCAGCACCTATACCTTGCCAAAGACGAATACATACGTAGCACACAAGCTTTTCAAGAATGCTTTTCTTATTGAATCAAATTTTATTTATATATTTTTAAAACAATAAAGGACAAAAGCCAGAGGGGGGAGGTGAGTCAACACTAAGTGCAGAACAGTGTTTTTTGCGTGTTGGTGTGTCTGGGACGTGATTGATAACTGGAGTTCTCCACTTCCAGGGAAAGGGAAAGGCTGACTTTGCCAGCTCCTCCTCACCTATTGAACAGGTTTTTTTGTTTTTTTTCTCCCCTATTAGGCTTTACACATCAGGGGTGCTGAATGAAATATGGTTTATCTGTGATACATTTCTTATGTTAAGATTGTACAGCAGCACAGTTTAGATATTGGGAGGTTTTATCCCTTTGCTTTGTTTGAAAATACATACCTGGACAATGCTCCTTTGAGGGAATTACAATGAATAAGATGAAACAGAAGGTGTATAAATTGTTGAATGTAGAACTGATCATCTATTCTGTAAACCTTTCCCCAATTCACGGTGAAAAGTTTACCCAAAAAGTACACAAATGCATGTATAAATACATGTTCTTTTTAACAAATGCTGCTATTATGTGTCCAAGAAGATATAATATAATTAGTGATTCCTGAAACAGCATTTTATATTATAGGTAAGGTAGACTACAAATAATCGATAAATAGATATAATGAGAATGAGTTGTACTGGTTATGAGGAGGACTGGTTTTCATTTTTATGCTGTAATCTCACCACTAGGTAGTAGGACATAAATAATAAGAGAATTACATTAAAAAGAGTTTTTTTTTAAGAGTTTTATGAGTGTGTGTTAACATGTCATACAATGCAATAGTTCCGTCATATTAACATAGTTGTGCAGTCGTCTCCACAATACATTTTAGAACATTTGCTTCCTTCGTGTCCTCACTGCCATCAGCTGCCAGCCTCTCCTGCCATAACCCCAAGAAAAGCGTTATTTTTGAGGAAGAAAACAAAGCAAGCAAAAAAGAGCATCAAATTACCTTTGACTCAATTTTAATTTTGAAATCTTTGCTCTGAACAAGTTACCTAACTTTTCTAGTCTTCCGTTTCATTAGTAAAGTGGGAATAATAGTTAAACTTCATAGGATTATTATAAATATTAACTGAAAAAATGAATGGAACATGTGAGTAATTGTGAAGCACTGACTTAATGATAAGTAGCTCTGGTGGCTCAGCAGATTACACATTGGACGGCTAGGCACAAGGTCAGCAACCCAAGCCCACCAGCTGCTCGGTGGGGCAACATGTGCAGCCTCGGAAACCCCAAGGAACACTGACTGACACTGCCCTGAGGGGCAGGTCACTGTGAATTGGAATCGATTCAGTGGCAGCCAAGTTGGGTTTTTTTGCTTTTACTGTTAGAAGAATAAGGAGGTGCTCAATAAATATTCACAACTGATCATTTCTTTCAATCTGATATTTTCACTTGGTGTATGTTTGTTTTATATATATATATATATATGCATTCACACACACACACAATGATAGAAGAGCAGTATTTTACATCAGACCAGCAGCACAAGACTGCGTATAACTCCCTCTTCTCTGTTACACTAAGACCAATCTTAATAAGTTAAGAATAGTAAACTCTTTGGCTAAAAAAAAAAAGTACTTGTTTTGGAAGGTTGAAGAATAGGGAAGCATTTCTATAGTAGGATATAACTTTTAACTATAGTGATGAAAAGGCAGCCTACAAAAAAGCTAATATAAAAATGGTATTCTCCAGAGGGAACAAACATGTTGAAATCTCAAAACTATTTGCTACTGCCTCCAGCACATGAGCATGTTTTCCCAGCACATCCGTCTTATCCATCATTCAGATCTCTGCTTCAGTTTGACTTTGTCAGGGGAGCCTTCGCCAGTCCTCCCCCACTCAGACTGTGTACGCTAGCTCCCGCGTGTTTGCTCACATACATCACACTTGGAACTGCTTATGCCATGTCTGTCTTGTGTTAAAATTAAGTCTATAGATATCCTCTGAAATGTAAGGTTACTTTGCAAAAACAACATGCATGTCATGAGTTGGAATCTAGATAATTTAAAATATGATCACACTTCGCTCTGTGCCAATAAATGCATCAGTTGGAAGAGTATCTGCAGTTTCAGTTTTCCTCACGTCTTTGTATGTCTGAAATGTCTACAGTCTCGAATTCCTTACATTTAGTACAAATGCAGAAAGTATCTGTTGATGATTTGTCTCAATTTTATTTAGAATAATAAAATATCACCGTCTTACTTGATCCACTTACTCTGTGATGTAGCTGCTATTTCCATTTTGTAAATGAAATACAACCAAGATAACATAGCAGAGTCCGTTTTCAAATCCAGCCATTTCTAACTCCAGGGCCCCCTTAAAACTGATAGATTGTGAACCCCACTGGGATTTTAAGATTTGCGCAATTAAATGAGCAAATACTGAGATGTAAGACTGGCCTGATGATGTCTTTGGGTCTTTTGTCCTGTTTTCAGTGCAGACCGAGTCTTGAAGATGAGACTTCAAAGAAAGCATTCCAGTGCTGGAGACAGAACATTTTCCAGACAAAACTATCACACGACTCGTTACTGGTTAATGGGATGATAGTCTAAAACTTGGTATCCAAGGATGAGTTGCCAAGAGTTTTGTAGTTAATTTCAGTCAAAGGAAGGAACCAGGCATTCCTAATGTTCTCAGAACTCCATTATTATCTAATTGGGTTTATTCATCTGGTCATTGGAATCTGTGTCAGCAGCAGTTTCCCTGGAATGTGAAGCTGTTCTTAAAGAGACATGAATAAAGTGAAGATCCTGTAACATTCGATCTAGTCGTACTGCCTTTGTTATCTGCTCTGTCTGTAAGGTATCTTTCCTCATTATGCCACAGGCACCCCAAACTCTGCCCAAACTCGTCATCTTTTCTTCTCTAAGCCTGTTTCTTCTTCAGCATTCCGCATCACAGTGACTGACACTGGAGTGTCCATTCCAGCAACTGAGAAGGGAAAGCCAGGAGTCAATTTTAACTTTTCTTGCCCTTTATATCCAGTCAACTTTCATGTCTTTTTAATTCCATCACCGAAATAGTTCATAAGTTGATCCATTTCTTTCTGACCCTTCTTCTACTACCCTTTTGGCCCTGCGGAATCACCTCTTGCCTGAATTGCTGCTTGTTGCTATCAGTTGAGGTAGAGTCATTCTGTGTGTGCCTAGCAGATTGCCAGGCCTGTCTAATGTGGTGCCTTTGGGTTGGTGGTGAGTTTGAACCGCCAACCTTTTTGGTTAGAGTTTGTCTTTAAACATGAGTACTATACTATCCAGGGACTCCTGAACTATTATAACAGGGTCTTAGATGTTGTTCCCCTCCTTAATTTTATTTTTTCTGTTGAGAATATACATCGCAAAATGCATGCCAGTTCAGCAGTTTCTATGTTTACAACTTAGTGACATTGATTACCTTCTTCAAGTTAATGCAACTCTTTTCGCTGTCATGTTCTGAGTTGTCCCTCCCACACTTACATAAACTGATTGCCCCCCCCAATGTTTCTATCTAATTTTTTGAGCTGCTGTTACCAGTTTGGTTCCATGTAGATGCTCAAGGCCAACCTCTTCTACTAAACTGTTGTTTGGTTTAAAAAATAAAAAATCTGTAGGGGATATTTTGGTTTAAAGTTTAAAGAATAGTAGTTTCAAGGGTTTTCTCCATGTCCTGCCGTCAGGGAATATAGATGACATCAAAATATGAAATTCTGTTGTGCATTTCCCCCCTTTGATCAGGATTCTTCTCTGAACTCATAGATCACAATGCTCAGTAATGGTAGGTGGCTGCCATCCAGCTCTTCTGCTCTCATGACAAAAGAGGCAGTTGCCCAGGAAGGCAATTAGCCATACATTCCATATCCTCTTTTTCCTGACTCACTGTCTTTCTCTGTTGCTCCAAATGATTAGATATACTGTATATACTCAAGTATACGCTGGCCCCGAATATCAGTCAAGGTACCTAATTTTACCACAAAAACGGCATTAAAAATATGCTGAAAAAATTCGACTTATACTGGTATATATGGTAAATTGTTAAGCATAGTAGGTTTTAATTGGCCTTCTACCCAAACTCCAAAACCAAACTCTGCCACC